TCAATTGTTTTTAATGTCAAACTAAGTTTCAAATATTTTCAAGGGCAAACAATGATAAGCGGTTTTTTATAATTTTTTCTATTTATTTCTACAATCTAACTATATTTCTATGAATCAAAACATTCTAAAAAATTTCCCGAACAAACTTCAGGAAGATTCATGAAAATCCGAATTATAGTTTAGGAGGAAATATGAAACTTACATTGTTACAGAAGAATTTTATATATAAGATATATATATATATATATATATATATATATATATATATATATATATATTATATATATATATATATATATATATATATATATGAAGCGGTTGATGGATTAAAACAGTTTGATTAGGTTTGCTATTGTTTATTTATGGAAAAACATAGATACAATATTTATATTGCATTGTATATCCCTCTTTGCTGCCGCTGGTAGAATAGGCATTTTGCTTCGGTGGCCGGTTCTTTTATGCAGGCCAGAGACGGCTTAATGGATTTGTTGTTTATCGCTTAACAAAAGTGTTAAAACTATTTTTTGGTAATAAGTAAAATTAAAAAGCAACAGCTGTTTAAATGCAAAAAGTCAAGTATGCTCAATGTAAGCCAGAGGTAGGGCAAGTTGAGCACTAAGAAAGTATAATGAAATCATAGGTTCAATGTCGATTAGTGATGAAATAAAATAAGTTTTTAATAACCAGTTCTATATTTATAGTCTTTATTGACAGAGAAAACAAAACATATAGTAATTTGCTTTGAATAATTAACGAAAAGTAGAATCAACAAAACAATATCGTATCTTAGGAATTATTTTACCATTATATTCAGTATTTTTGTTTAAAATCATTATTTCTTTATATTATTACTCATAGACTTAGCCTAAATCTTAAAAATAATAATTACTTTCTGGAAGTTAATGGTAATTGTCTTAGTGACAGAACAAGTTTAGCAACTATGCTCAACTAACCCCAACTCGAAATTTCAAAATAAAAGTGAGTTTATAAAAAAACCATGAAAATTATACCCAGAATCTCTGTGCATATTAAAAATACTATAATTATATGGAAGAATAACATTTACCTGATTAAAAATAAACAACAATTGACTAAACCAGACGAAAACTCATGATGAATTACTTTTTTACATTTTGGTCTCAAAATAAACAAAACGCCCATGAGCCTCACTCATTTGTCCAGCGGCCACTAGCGATCGCGGGATGTTTATTTCACCCAAACCTCTATCTTTCCGCCATACAATGCCTAAACGAACGGTGAATAGTTTTCGAGATATTTTGATTGCTCAACTTGCCCCTATGCTCAATTAGCCCCGCTTTACCCTAATTGTTATGTCCGGTGTTGACCTGGAAGTCTCAAAGGTTCTCCAAAGGTGAGTTCTGCGCTAGAATTCTTTATCATGGCAATGCTTCTAACCACGACTCATTTTCGTGGCACATAAGGGCAGACTTTAATGTTCAGTGTATATTTTCAATGAGGCCATTGGACTGCGGGTGATATGACGACGTATGAATCAGTTTTGTTCCACAAAACTGTGCCATATTGCGGAATGTTGCTCCGTCGAATTCTCTTCCTCTGTCGGTTATTATTGTTGCCGATATTCCGAACCTGGATATAAAATAAAAGCCCAAGTCACAGTTTCTGCAGTTATGTCTGATAGTGGATAAACTTCTATCTATCTGGTGTATCTATCTATGCAGGTTAGTAAATATCGCGCACTTGTGCAAATTGGCAGAGGACTTACGATGTCAATATGTACGTGTAGAAATATTACAGATGGAACGTCAAATTTTTGTAAAGGTGTGATTGTATGTCTACCTATTTTGCTGCGTTGACAATGTATGCAATTCTTTGACCAGGTCCGGCAGTCACGCCGTATATTTGGCCAAACAAAGCGTTTCGTCAGCATTTTGACTGTTGCTCTAACACCTGGATGACTTAGATTGTGCACGTTATCAAAGATCTTCTTTCTTAAAGCTGCTGGAACAAATGGTCTTCGTAAATGTTGTGATATGTCACAAAATATATTGTGCGTTGTTCCTTAGATGGCTTGGTTTTTGAGCTGCAATGAACTTTCTTTCAACAGATATTTTTTTAGTTCCTGGTCCTCTTTTTGTGCTTCAGCAATTTCAATTATGTTTGTAAGCCGTAATAATAAAGCCTGCATACACAACTGCCGAAGAACGCACAACAGCAGAGCAAATCACATCTGAAAAATATATAACAAGACGAGGACGGCAGGTACGATTCCAGAATTACAAAGAATAATAATTTTCTTTCTTTTTCAACGTAGTGGGCTGTGCGGCGACACCCAAGTACAGCCCTGCATTAAGTACGGCCCTGTAGCATTTGGGGATGCGCACGCATCGAGATGGCCGTCTCTGGCCTGCATAAAAGAACCGGCCACTGAAGCAAAATGCCTATTCTACCAGCGGCAGCAAAGAGGGATATACAATACAATATAAATATTGTATCTATGTTTCTCCATGAATAAACAATA